GGACAATGATGGGCAAAGCCAGGGAGTCAGCTCTTGGCCAAAATGTTATCCCCAGCACCAACCCTGGGGAACTGGCACCAAGCCTGAGGAGGGAGCCTTCCCCCCATGGCCAGCCTGGCTCACATCCTGCCCTGCACTCACCAAGGGTCCTGGCACAGAGGATCTGTGCCAACGGGGACCCTCAGGCCTTAAACAACCTAAAGGAGGAGAAGCTGAGTTCATGTGCTGCTCAAAACCCTCCTGCTTCCAAGAGCTGCACCAGAGGACTCACCTGCCCCTCTGGAGCACGCAGCCCCCGTGGGCTAGGGGTAAATCTGCTCATCATCCACGTCCTAAAGTCCAAAACTACAGCCTGGTGTCTAAACCAAACACCAAAACTCTGGAAGAACTCCCAGTTGTGGAGGTTCACTGAGCAGGCTGCACAGAACCACCTGTCAGCATTGGCTCAAGTGAAGTCACCACTGAAATGGGAGTCAGTGTTTTGGGACTGAGAAGCAGAGGGCAGTTCTGCCAGCTGCTGATCTTGTTGCCCATCATTCTCACCTTCTAGTGCCTGGTTGGCTTTCATAGGGCTGTGGGGGCTGAATTAGGGATTGTCAGAGAATTCCAGTGTCAGCCTCATGAATTCCTTGGTTTTTTTGAATTTAGATAAAAGTCTGTGCAATCAGCCAGCAGGAAGAAAGCAACTTGTGCCCTTCAACAGCCTCATCAGATTCAAGCTGGTCTCTCTCTGAGAGGAAAGAGTAGAGGTGGGACTTAAATCATGACTTTTCAACCCACAGGTTTCCAACTCTGGAAACACCAAAACTTACCGTTTGCCCAAGCACAGGGAGAAGAGGTGGTGAGAGCTCCTCTGGAAGGGAAGGCCTGTAAGTTGGTGGCTCCAGGTACCTCCAGCTCCATGGTCCCCTCCCATCTGGGGGAGGAGGGCCTCTGTATGTCACAAAGTGCCTGAGATTTCATCTCCTTTTCCAACAATGTGAGCTAAGGGGATGGAGCATCACAGAATCCCAGCATGGTGGGGTTGGGAGGGACCTCTGGAGATCATCTCATCTAACCCCTCTGCTCCAGCAGCTCACCCACAGCAGGGTGCCCAGGATGGTGCCCAGGAGGGTTTGGAATCCCTCCAGAGCAGGAGACTCCACAGCCTCTCTGGGCAGCCTGCTCCAGGGCTCTGAAAGCAGCTATGATCTCCTTAGTCTAAAACAGAGAGATCAAAATTTATCTACAAACGGTGTGACTTGAAAACTGCAAATCTTACCCTAATCTTGGGAACAAGACAGTAACAGAGATGTTCACATAGCTCATAAGATAACCACAGAGTTATTAAAAAGCATGCTGGCTGATGAAATTGTGGTTGAGACTGTCACCAGGGAGTCGTTAACAGCAAGACATTGGAGATCATTATGTTGTTTTGCAGAAACAGCAAAAAGAAAACTAGAAATGCAGCTGATCTGAGGAAAAAACAGGGCACTGAAGTCTGTGTGTGGGCAGATGGGTCCCCCAGTGCCCTGCTGTGGTGGAGCACTACTGCTGGAAGTGAGGGACCAGCCCCTGGCACCAGGTGGACCTGCTCCTGCACTTGGCTCAAGCATGGTAAAGGAAAGGAGGGATCAAGGCTCTGGGGTAAGGACTGGAGTGCTTGGATCTCACCAGCCACAGTCACTTCTCCCCTCCTCTGGGTCTTGGTGGCAAAGCAGAGCAGGGCTGGAGAACATCCCACTGCCACAGAGGGCAGTGGCATCTGCTGAAGTGTGGAAGAAAACCCAGAGGCAGTCTTAGCAGAGGGTGGTAAATCCCAGTTGATCCCCATTTACAGAGAAAACCCAGAAACTCTGTCTTATCTACATGAAATCTAGCAGCTGAGTCCCTCTAAGAGGGATGTGCCTGCTCCAGGAGCCTTGCAGGAGCTGTGGGCAAGCAGTGCCTCACCCCAACTTGTCTTTGCAACAGCCTGTGCTGAAGGAGGTTTCCATAAAGCCCAAGGGTGGCTGGCACAGCCCCTGTCCTCCCCATGGCCTCCAGGGGAAGAACAATCCCCCCTCTCCCTCCCAAAGCACACAGCAGCAAAGCTGAGCCACTACTGTAGTTGTGAGGAGCTGGCTGAGGGGACTGCTGGGCTTGGGAAAGGGCTGAGTGGTGGGATTCCTGGGCTTGGGAATGGGCTGAGGGGACTCCTGGGCTTGGGAAATCTGCTGGGCACCACCCCAAGCAAAAATGCAGCTGGAGGAACGTGAGGAGCAAACCAGGCAGGTCCACTCACCCACTCCTGCTTCAAGGGGACTGTCCCTGCCAAACAGATCTTTAAGCTGTGATACCTGGGGGAAGAATAAAATAAAAGGGGGAAAAAAAAAGGTGGTAAATTGCAGCTGGGTGCATTTTAGGCAACCCAAGTAGGAGCCTAGCAGGAGCTGCTCAGCTCCCCATCTCTAGTGCACAGCTTTCAGCCTCTCCACACTCCCAGCAGGAGCAATTAATTCCTGGGACAAACAGAGCTATCCTGCTCTGCAGATGTTTCCTCTTAGTCCTACTGGACTCGAGTCAATGAAAACGTGGCAAGATCTGCACAGCAACACATGGAACTTTCCACCAGGCAAGAGGGGAAGAGCAGCAGCCTCAGCTGAAGCCTCTGCTAAAAATCTAGCTGCTATTTTTGCTTGGGATGGAAGGGAGGGGTTAAAGAAAGCTAAAAGAAAATAGGAATGGGCAGCATAGCCCTTGGCATGCCTGAGAACCAGAGTCTCCCAGATTTCTTGGCAGATGCTGGACCAACTGGGAGGGCTGTAGGCCCTTTGCCCCTGTCACAGCTTTGTTTATCCATCCCAGACATGAGCTGGTAGCAGCAAATCTCCAGGGATGGCCAGGCCAAACTAGCAGCTATGGAGCACTTCTGGCCCTGCTCATGATTTGTATCTCAGGGGTAGAAGCAGCTCCAGTGTGAACTAGGGTCACACTCCACCCCACTGCTCCTCTGTGCCAGCAGCTGGGAGGTGGCAAGTGAGGAAGGAACAGGACCCCTTGAAGACCCTCTGGTTCACTCTGTGCCTGCTCACACAGCTACAGAGAACCTGGGGGGACGTGTCTGTGGTTAGAGGAGGAACTGCAGGGACTCACACCATGTGCATGTAGTGTCACTCTCAGGAAGCACTTGGTACCAAACAAGCCATTTTGGCACACAGCTGCTCCACAGGCTTCCCTGTGCTGACAGCAGACAGAAATGCTCAGGCACCAACAGTTTGGGTTTTAGGTACCTTGAGCACACACAGCCTTGATCTCAGATCTCCAAGTAGCTGCCACCCTTGGTAGGGAGAGCAGAAGGAACACACCTACAATCACCACCAGAGGTGCTGGTTCACAGAGAGGTTTCTCCTCCCCTCCTGGCACTTAGAACAATCAATTTAAAATTAAAAGGATCTGGAGAAGGGACAAGCAGCATCTTACATGATGTAACTTGCAAAATGCTTGGAGATCCTTCAGCTGGAAGATGAGGTAGAAATACTTATTACCACGTTACACAATTCACTGACTCTGGGCAGCCTTTTAGTATCCAAACACAAACCTGCAATAACCCAGGCAACAGCTTTTCAGAGAGTTCTTGTGCTTCAGGACTTGCAATCCTCATTTAGGGGAACCATTTTTGGAAGTGTTCAACAATACATGACCTAACAAAAACTGCCTGTGGTAAGTTTAAAGTACCATCAGTGTTTTTCCTCCCTTTTCTTTATTTCTACATTTTTACAAGTAGCTTTGGCTGGTGAGGAATGGATCACAGCTACTGTAAAGCTGATGTCAGGTTAGTCTTTGCCTCATGTTAATCTCTCCAGGAGAGTTATTCTAAGATGTGTATAAACCACTTCTTGGCTGTATTACTACATAGCACTATCATAACCTTCCTAATCCATTACTTAAGGTGCTGACAAAATCCCACTTCTTCAAAACAGACATCTTGGCAAATATGTGGGAATTTTTTCTTTTCACCTGCCTGCTCATTATAGTCATGGCTACACATCTGAAACACACAGTAGTACTGCAGTCACTAATTGACTAATTATGAGAGTGAGCTCTAGGAAAAAAGATGTCAGGACTTGAAGTACACTGTGTATTTAATGTGCTGGTGATTATTAGTTTGATGGGTTAATGTGTTTTGTCCTGTATCTACAGCTCTGCTTCTGCAGAAACCTTCCCCTTCTCCCCACCAGTGAGAAGGTTCCTCATCTGATATGAGGAAATTAAAACAGGCAATGCAGAAAACATTGCTTGAGGAAGAGCTAAATGATTCCAGGACCCTTGCAGCAACTTTTGCCATAATGTTTGTTGAAAACAGTGCTTCCAACACTTGCAGCTGAAATATCAACTTCCTGAAAAAATCAACTTTTTCCTTTGACTTCTTCCATCTGTTGTCAAGTCCTCTCCTGCCAAGTAACCAGCTCCTACTTTGCTGGGGTAGGCAGCTGATGTAGGGAGGGACCTCACTGCCTTGAAAACCTCATCATACAACTTGGTTGCATACCTTATTCATCTGCCATCTTCTGCCTTCCCCTTCCTGACAGCCACCATGCTTTTCCAGCTGAATTATCAAACTCTTCAAAATCAACCTATTTTCCCTCCTGCTGTAGCCATGCCCCTGTCTCCTTAGCCACTGTAAGAGGTTTTGGCTAGGCTCTACTCTACCTGTTGGTGAGCAAAGAAATCTTTAATTACAATGGGAGTTGGAAACTTGAGACCATGTTGTACTTGTAGTAAAATCTCACCACAGACCTCAGTGGAACTCCTCAGTCACTCCTGAAAGCAGAGCCACCACCTCCCAGGGAACTGCATCGACTGCTGCTGGAGCACTTCCTACCTGCAGGCAGCTCCTCATATGGCAAACATCTCAAACTTGCTTATTTGCATTTAACTGTAGCTTCCTTTATGCTTTGTAACATTTTAAAAGCCAGAAGGGTAAAGGTACAAAAAAAGGTACAAACCCCACCCTTTTTCTAGATACAAACTGACAAGATTGCACAATCAATTAAAAACAGTTTTGAACATTTAATAAAAACTCATCCTAGAAATCCAACTTTCTGCCGTGAGGTCCCCAGACTCTCTTCTTCATCCAGAACCTTCTGCAGGGCTACATGCAGTGACTTCCCTACTCTTTTTCCTGTCTGCAAGGCAAAGAAAACAAAACAAATCAGACACATGCTCATTTTCAGGAAGACAACTCACACAGAACACTTGCTTTTGACAAATATTTTCCCTTTAACGATTCATATACCCCAGCTGGTATAATAAACCCATGCTTTTAATTAAGAAAAATAATGGCAGTGGAAGTTTTTTCTTTTAATTTGATTAAGTTTTGAGAAAATGTACACACAAAGGCAGTGCTCCCATTCATCAGAGAAGCATTCCATGATCATTAACACCAGATCTGTGCACTGCTGGATCACTCAGGAATACAAATTAAATTCCCATTAGGCACAAGCACACATTCAAATTAGGCAGCACGGGCAACAAGCTGCCAGAGAACCAAGATACCTGACCAGCAAAGCAGCCTTCACATTAACAAAGTTCAGCAAGCTCTCCTGAACGTGCTCAGCATCAGCAGAGCTAACTTAAAGCAGCTCAGCACCCTGTCGTGGGGCCAGGAAGCCCAAAATGCACCCTGGCTGCATTGCCCAATCAGTCTGTGGGCAGGTCCTTCAGCAACCACGTGAAAATTCTGCACTGTCCAAGGACCCTGCAGGAGTTAACTGAGGGTTTTCTTTACAGAAATAACTCGAGCAGTGGAAACCCACCAGGATTGGCTCTGATACCAGCCTCTGCTCTTCCCACATGCACAGCTGTGGAAGCTGCAGGACAGAACGTTAGGCAATGCTAAAATTAAGATCTCAAGGCAATGGTGCCTATTTAAGCTTTCCCTAAATTCCCTAAATGGCTTGAAATCTGACTCTGTACAGAGATGAAGAGAATCCACCTGGCCCTAAAGAGCCAAAGACAGGTTATATTAAATGAGTTTTAGTCCTTTGGCATTGACACAACACTGTCACCATCTTACTCCTGCCTGCCTCTTATGGATCGGATCATAAACTCAGGAAAAAAGAGCCTAATGCTGCCAGCTTCCCAAAAACATTCCCATGAAGCTGCCTTCCTAAGAGAGATATATTTAAACATCTGGTCTCTACCAGGCAGGGAAGCTGAACACTCTGACCTGCAGCCAAACCATGAGGGAATGGAGGTGTCAAGCAAGGATTACACAGCCCCCCCACTGGACATTCCCAGGCCTCTTGGTTTTTCTTGGTGTCCTAATCAGGCTGCTGAGGCAGGGACAGATAATTCTCAGACTTCCCAGAAAATATCTTATTTTCTTCTGGTCATCCTCCTGTTTAGGGCTCAGTGTAGAGTGAAATATCAAAACAGAGGCTCTGATCAAAGCTTCGTGCAGGTTACTCACATGGGGGCCAGCTTGTACCATCAACCTGTGGCTGACTTGAGCACCTGTCTCTTTCTAGCAGCCCTAGACTCAAAACTCCAAGTCTTCTAGGACATTTAGTTAGAGTTGGACTCAAAAATCCATCAAGACACATCAGCTGTCCATGGGAGGTTTAGTTTCTTTGGGATGCCAGGTCAGAACTAACACTCCTCCACCCAGGTAAGGGGGATAAGTGACAATGGAATGCCCATCAAAAGCCCACTGGTCCCACCACAATTTGTGCTCAGGACATCTTGAGAGAGGGAAAGGCCACATACAGTCAGTGTGATTTCCACTGGAGACCAACTGTTTTCAAACTTGGCTCTGAGTCCTGCATGCTGTGCTACAGCCATGCTGGAATTAGCTCTGGGTCTCTAGGAAACAGCCAGTTTCAAGTGTTTAATTTTCATCCTGGCTCCAAGTTCAAAACCCATCTCTGTCTCTTGCTCAAGGCCAAAACCAGACAGGAGGATTTATACTGGAGGACAGATTTAAGAGAAAGGCTTAAAATGGAATTCTTCTGTGGATGTGAGCAACACCCAGACACTACTGTTTTTGTGGAGTAGGGGCAGGTCAGAAACCCAGTAAAGGAGCAAAGAAAAACAACAGTGAAAGGAGAACAGTAAGCTTATCACAAAACAAATGAGTTGTGTTAGAGGAGAACAGCATGTACCAGCAATTCAAAGCACCATCTCTCCTTTTGTAGGCACTTTACAGTGATAGAAGTTTGGCTCTTTCAGTCTTGAAGGGAAACAATGTGAGAGGAAACATGTTCTTTAAAAAGTTTATCAGCTCTCCAAGTTGATAAACTCTCAAAGTTTATCAGCTAAAGCTTTACAGTCTTAACAGCTGTGAAGTACTTGACTGAAACAAATGAGGATCCCATATGCTTCAGATATCAAAAGGTTTTAGATAACATTAATTCATATTAGATTCTGTTGCAAAGGAACTGTCTTGTGTCCTTCTGCAAATCCCTTGTGCACCCCATAAAAGCACCAAAATCTCTCCTCTTGAAGTCCTTACTGCAGCTTTCCATATACCCAAATTCCAGTTCATCCAGCATCACCTGAGCCAGGAATAACTGCTCAAAACTCACCTCCATCATTTCAAAAATACTCTCAGGATCCAGGCTGCCTTTGCCCACTTTCTTCACAGAAGTGAGGGCACCTTTACTGGTCACAGAAATAAGCAGGCTGGCCAAAGAACAGGCTTCTTCCTGAAGGGTGGCATCCACCACATGCCTGTATCCAATCTGGAAGTCAGTGACAAAACAAGGTATTAGTTTACAGTTGTCTAAGCTCTTTATTAAGGAGTTAAAACTGTGAGTGGTACCTCTGTTAGTTACCTACAGCCTCCCATCCTCCTGTCATGTGGACTTTGGTAGTGGTCAGGGGCTGACCTGACAGGTAATTAAGCAAATCACTGACTTTTGCCACAGAAAATTGCAGCACCCATCAAAACAACTGTCTTAGCTGTGCTGCAAGTGAAAAATGGAAACCAAAACCTGTTTGGAAGGACAGGATTGCACCCATGAGAATGGAGTTCTGTCCCCAGCAACAGACACTCGTCGTGTAACTGTCACACAGCTTCTGTGCCTCACAACAGGGACCACTGGTTTTAACATACTGGAGCATCTGCTGCTCTGGATGTTGAGCAAGTGGATGGAAAATAAACAGCTCTTCTGCATGGCAGAAGATGCATTTTTAAGAATGCATCATGTAGAAACCTGCAAGTCAGAGGTGGAAAAAAAAAAACCCTCTTTATTCAGTGAAAGTTCTTAATCAGGAGGCCAAAGATGAACAGATATATATAAATAGCAGGCACTGACCGTTTCTGTATCACAAGTTTTATTATCTCTAGGGAAACACAGAGCAGGTGAAGTTACTGGGGACTGCACACTGCAGGCAGGTGGCCAGAGGTGTGTGAGGCTTACTTTGCTGAGTGTGACAATGCAGGGCACGTCAGCCACGCCCAGGCGGATGCAGTCGTAGGGGTCGTCAGAGAGCTCGATCTCCTTGGAGCCTTCCACCTCCAACACACGCACCCTGGGGATCCTGGGGAAAGAGATGTGCAGGGTCACTGCCAGAGCAGCTCCCCAGAACAGCTCTCAGACAGCTTTACCCAGGCAGGGCTCCTTCCTCTACATGAGGTGAATGCTCAGGGAAAAATCCAGGGTGTTATCCAAGTATTCACAATTCACTCACAGGCTGGGAAGAAAACATTGCAAGGGGGCAGATATTTAGGACAAGATCATAATATTTACATTGTTCAAACTATTAGAACTTGTTTTTACACTGCTAGATGGGGAAAGATTCTTCAGGAATTTGCATAAATCAATTCTCAGCCATTATGTCTGGATGAACAGGATCCTGTCTTGGTAATCGTTCAAACTGTTAGAACTGGTTTTTACACTGCTAGATGGGGAAGGATTCTTCAGGAATTTGCACAAATCAATTCTCAGCCATTATGTTTGGATGAACAGGATCCTGTCTTGGTAATTTCTCTCCTTTCATACTGTGGATCCCAACCTCACAGAGAAGGGTAATGCCATGGGAATTACAGCAGCTGCATTGCTGGGCAGAGCTGGGACATCAGGAGCAGGAACAAGCAGCAAAGCTTCTCAGGAAAGAATGACACTAACTGAGGAGACTTGTGGCCAAGGGAAAAGGTGACATCAGTAAAATCCTGTTTAGCAAGGTGGGAAGATTGGCAAGATAGTCTCACTCTTTCAGGAGCCAGAAGACTCTGCTGTTTTAAAGACAGATATATAAAATCTTACATCCCCTCATTTCTCCAGGTGCCCACCAGGATGACACTGCTCTCCTGGCCAGTAAAACCCCCACTGGGCCCAGCCAGGCTACTCTGGCTGTGACACATTTGCACTTGAAAACACCCCTAGACAGCCAGCTTCAGCAACCACGTGCAGTGTAGCCACAGCCTGGGCCTGTATCAGGACTCCCACAGTAGCACTGTGTTATAAGCAGGCTCTGGAGGTTACACACTTCAATGCATTCTGTTCCAAATCTCTCAGAAGAGGAGGAGATAGGGACTGATCAAGTGAACAGCCAACGCCAAGTGATTTTTGTTGTTCCCTGGAAGGTTGTTTTAGTTATTTGTGGCTGGGAGTCCTGGAGGCAAGCACTTCACAGCAGCTAACCCTGCTTCAGTGAGAACAAATTCCCTGCAACAACAGTGGCCCCAGCCAGGCTGAGCTGAAAGGTTTCAGCAGGCACAGCAGCTGTGATGTGTACCTCTTCCTGCAATGAAACTCAGTGCTTTGCAACCCATCAGAACTGCATCAAAGCCTATTTTTGAGGTAAAAATACCCCACTAGCAATTGATGGAATAAAGCCACAAGGTGACTAACCCTCTAGCTACATAGGACAATGGCTGAGGTTGGACAGCAGCCTAGACAACAAGCATGTATGCCAGAGCAGTGTTTTAAAAATGAAGTTTTCAAGAAAATCTCTGAGATTAAGCAATTCTTAACCTCGTCCCAAACCAGTTATGAAACCAGAGCAAGGTTTGGTCTGCAGGAAAAGGTTGCCAGAATTAATACCTGAAAAATGCCTGCAAGGAGCTGTTCTGTCCAAGGACTGATGAGAGAGGTACAAAACAGAACTGCTCCAGAGGCAAAAAACCCAGCTGATCAGACACAAGCAGCACAGTTCCATAAAAAGAAGGGGGTACATACACACAAAAACAAGGCAAGGAGCCCAGCACAAAGAGTTTCCTCTCCCAGCTTGTGAAGAGTTATCTTAAGAAGGAGCTGTACTAGTGAACTAGATGTTCATTTTGCAGCTTATTTTCTTCTGTTTTGATTCTTGCAACTAATGAGGGCAGAAATCTGCCCAGCTTGACTGGGTCACAGCAGAAACAATACTCTTGTCTTTTAATGTGCTGCAGACCCTGATTTCACAACTGCAAAATCAGCTCTACCCTTCCCAGCAGGCATCAGTTCTGCCCCTTCCATGCTGCCCAGCGAAAAACAATTGGATTTACTTAGCCCTAAAGAAAAATGTGGCTATAACTATTATAAAAATGACTAGAGCAAGATGAAGGATGAAGCTGAGGTTTTCAACTGCCTATCTGAATACCTAAAAATTTATAGCTTCAAAGAAAAAACAGCAGCTTGAGCTCCCTGCTTTTGGTTCCCAGGCTGTAGGCAAGGCTGGCAAAGACCTGAAAACACTTATAACAAAAACCTGGTTGTAAACAGATTATGAAAGGCAAGGAAGACTCAGAGGGACACACGTGTCAAGCAGAGTTCAGAACACTTAATCTGAAGTGATCTTCAAATGGACATCTTGTCTTGCTTGGACATGAATGTCTTATGGAGAGTGGGCAGCAGCTCTATCAACAACCTCATGTTGATCCAAAGAAAACTGAGTAGGTACCAAAGGAAAGGCAAGGGAATAGTGAATGAGGACAACAGGTTTCCACTTTGAATTCCACCTCCTGACCTCACATGAGATCAGGCACACCAGGACTCCCTGCTTAAAGCAACACACAGGGCTTGCACTGGTAAAAAAAAATTCAGAGGTTGTGCATGATGTTGTACTGGAGCACGTTTTGACTTGATATCTGACTTCCACAAGACTGTGGGTACATGCCCATGGATTAAAGATTTCATGAAGGACATGTATTGATCAGTTGTCAGAAGAGTAAAAACAAAGCAGAGTCATTAAAAAAATTACATCCTCCATGCTGCCCATGCTCCTGAAGCAACAGATTTTATTTTACTTAATGATTTTATATGATATTCTCTCTCTGCTCAGAGCTAGGATTCTGGCTGAAATAAGAAAACCAGACCTAGTTATCTTGTAAATAAAATATGCACCTTGGAACTGCAAAACAACTGACATGGGAGCAACTGTATGACTCCTGCCTCCTGGCAGTTCTGACAGAGGGGTTTCCTCCCCTCAGCACACTGTCAGCTCCTCTGAGGTGTCACCTTTGTGACAGTATTTCTTCAGGCTGCAAAACCTGCTCTTAAAAGTTACTGCTGAGAACTTCACTAACATGGGAAATTTCTCAGCAGTGTATGTAAGTTGTGGGCTCGGGTGGATTCTCCCTCACCCCTTTTCAAGTGTTTCTAACCCAATATACTGTCTTCAAAACCATTTTCCTCTTCCTCCTGCCCACCCTTTTCCAGCTCTAGCACTGTGCATTGATGAATAAGCCAGAACTGCACCAGCAACTTCTGCAGGTCTCTAATTTACAGCTGAAGAACAATCTGAGATCTACTTTTAAAATATTTCTGCCTGTAAGATGCTAACTTTTGCACCTCTTACAGCTACCTTTGCTACCTAATTTTTTTTGACAAAGCCATTTGCTAGTTTCTTTCTCAAGGGTGCTACAAAACTCTTGTACTCCCTTCCACCTATAGGTAAAGAAAAATCTTAGGAAAATATTGAATGTTACCATTAAGACACTAAGCACTTGTATCATTCATTCTACTAGATTTTGTCCTTCCATTCTTTGAAATAAAATGCAGAGGGAAAAGTTATTTTAAAGATCATCATTGCACCATTTTCCCCCTCTATAGTTGTAAAAAGCTACAGACTAACAGTGGTTTACCTTGTGTTAAAGAGAGCTGCCTTCACTGCGATAGAGATTGCATCAAAGAGGTTCCCACCACATTCCAGTAACTGGGGAGGGGAAAAAAAAGCATCCCTTTAATAGAAAATCAGGCTAGTTCCTTTAAAACAAGTGTTTATTTAACTTAAAGCCACTTGAAAACACATTACGAACCAGAAGAGGTTTTTAAAACCAATTTGTCTTTAAAGCCTATGAAAAGAAACAGCAGTTGAAGATTTCAGCTAACATTAGGATACACACAAAACAGAGTTAATGAACTTCATAATAAAATTAGTGATAAAATTTAATAATAGAGGCTGAAATGGAACCACCCACTGTTCTTACTCATCTTCTGCTAAGGCTGTGAACTAGACTATGACCAGAATACTTTTATAAACTCATCACATTCATTCTTTAATGTTAAATCAAGCCAAGCTGTTTCCCATACTCCACACCAAAGAGAAGAACAGCAGTGCACACTGAAGAGGCAGAGCTCTTGTAACCACTGATGCCTTCTACAGGATGAGAGACAACTCAGAGGTGTGCTGGGCCATAGCCTGGTGTCAGTTCTGACCAGCTCTGCTCTCAGCTGCCTGTTCCTGTCTATGAAGACACAGCACACCCAACACTGCTGCAGTGAGAGCTAAGAATGCTTCCCCATTACATCCACTCATCCTGTACCATCAGAGCAAAACCAGTTTTCAACACTGCTTGCACCAAGTGTTCTTCAAAGCCTGTTTAAGAACGAGACAAACTCCAGCACTGAGAGCAAACCATAAATCAGACACTCTGGGAAGACTGTTTTTAAGAAGGCAGACTGAATTGTGTAAAAAGAATGACAAAAAGCTGGGCCAGAAAGCTAAATACAGAAGTGATCCGATTATTTCTCGGCGAACAGCTGCTGGATGCAGGGAGGTGAACTCGCCCCTCTGGTCGTTATTGGATTTCTCAGGGTAACACAATCAGCCCCACAGTATCTGTGTCATTAACACCCACTAAAGGATGTGCTGGCACCTCTGCCAGGCTCGTGCCAAAGCCTCGGGGGTGTCAGAGTGGCACCTGCCGGCACAGCCCGGTCACAGCACAGAAGCTCCTCCAAAAAGAATCAGACGCCCTTCTCAGCTGAAGCACCTTCTACCAAGGCCCTCTTTCTTTTAAAGGACTTAAAAGTCTGCACAATTGAGTTGTGGGAAGCAAAAGAGCCTTAAAAAGGACTGCTTTTAATTAACTGATATCAAATGAAAGTATTACCGAGGCTGGAAGAAAAGAACAGTGCAGATCTTGCCTTATTCAAAGAAGCTTTTCCTCCAAAAGGACAGTTTTTTAATGGCTTTTTTTTCCCCAAACTGGAGGCAAATAGAAGAGGAAATCCTCTGAAAAAAGCTCAGTAGGGGATTGCTAATATTTCAACAGAATCTAACACACGCCCCTTGCAACACACAGCACCCTGTGATGGGAATGAAAAGATTGCACACTGATTCTCCACGCTCAGCACAGCCAGCTGCTGAAGGAAATGGCACAGAGAAGGCTCTACAGGCACCAAAATACTCCTCAAAAATACCTCAAAGCTCATTTCTGACACCAGGGACTTGTCCATATATCTGCACCGTCGTGGTGTGCATAGCTGATTCCCTTTGCAGTTGGCCTGTACACAATTACAGCACCTCCCAGGAACACTGACCACCAGAAAACACTCCAGAGTGTTTTCAATTGACAAGCTGCACGATTTTCTCTTTAGAAGCTGCATTTCTCCAGCATTTGTTTGCACAGAAGCTGAATGTGAAGCTGAATAGGAGCTTTGATCAGATTGTGCGTGGCTAAATTACACAGCAACAGAGTGTCTCCAGGTTCCTAATGTTCTCTCTGGGATTTTCTCTTTTGGACTGAGAGACTTGCAAACAAGCAGCTCCCCACCTGCCCACAAGGCACCAGTATTTTCAGGCTTGCAACGGATTTAAGGCTTATTTCCCCTTCAGCTTAACTACACAACACAAACACCAATGTGAACAATTTCCAGGAAGAAGCTGCACTTCTCCAGCTTTTGTTTGCACAGGAGCTGAATATGAATGCTTTGATCAGATTGTGCGTGGCTAAATTACACAGCAACAGAGTGTCTCCAGGTTCCTAATGTTCTCTCTGGGATTTTCTCTTTTGGACTGAGAGACTTGCAAACAAGCAGCTCCCCACCTGCCCACAAGGCACCAGTATTTTCAGGCTTGCAACGGATTTAAGGCTTATTTCCCCTTCAGCTTAACTACACAACACAAACACCAATGTGAACAATTTCCAGGAATTCTGAAGGAAAACATCACCCAAAGGACTCTCAGTAAGCACTGTTGTTATCTTCAGAACCTGCCTCCCTCAAACAATGAATAATACAACTTGTACCTTATATTAGCACAAGTGTCATACTCCTACCATGCACTCTTATAACAGAATTCAGTAAGAATGATTCAGCAAGAGCAGCTTCAGGAAAATCTGTAGGAACCAAGCACCTACATCAAGTATAAACTATCACATGTGATACGTGTTGAGAAAAGGAAATAGTACAAATATCTCAAAAATGTGAAAATACAGAGGGTGGGAATAGAGTTCAGAGACAAATGTTAACAGTATCTTGTTCAAACTCTAACCAGCAGCTCTTCAAGGGCTCACACCCAAAGTTCCTGCAGAGTATCCCATGAAAGAGGATCACCAGGTTTACAGTCTTAATTATGACCCTACAACAGGTTCCTTATTGGCACTGTAAACAAAGCTCAGTGTAAAACTCACCACATAACAGATGTTGGCATTCAAAGCTGCTCATGGCATAAGAATACCAAGGCTGGCTGTAGCTGTGGACAATGGGCAAGTTTGTCCAGGAAGAATCAAGTAACAACCCATTATACCTCACACAAAAGCCACAGGGAACTACTCCTGCAGCAGTCAGCTTTAGGAAAGGCTTTGTCTGGGCAGTGTTTAGGCAAATGTTGAGCAGTACACAGCTTACATAAGCACAGTATTTAAATATTCTGTACTTCTGCTTGTAATCACTGAGTTACTAAAGGCCCCAGTGTGATTTCTCAGAACCAATACCTTGTTCTCTGTTAAACTATTCCAGGCTCCAGTACACCATCAAGCAGGGCCAGGAAAGCACTCAGCAGTGGTGCACATTTGAGCATTCTGCATGCAGACTGAGTCACAGTATGTACCATAGCTGCTATAATTAGGCTAATGCTACTGCTTTTTAAACAGCTAATGGACTAATTTTCACATTTAAGTCTGAGTCTAAATGCTCCTGTTTCATTTAACAAAATCCTGTATTTAATTTTTCTGTCAATTCAGCTTAAAATTTCGCAAATAATTTTGTAGACACTGATGGATTGCTGCAAGGAAGATCCCTCAGTGTATTTTCAGTTACCAATTTGACAAATAGAAACTCAACTTCAGGCCAGTAAGAATTAGAAACAACACTCAGGAGTCTGACTCACAAATTCCTGTGACAGAGAAACTGAGCTGCTGCACACACAAGATTCACATGGCTAACATGCAGCTTCCATTTTTTAACAGGAACAAACATTGTTTCTCCTCTACATTCAATACAGGTACACAGCTTTCATCCAGAAGTGCTTGGGCCACACAACTTTTCCAGTTTCTGTTTACTTGACTGCATGATTACTGATAACAATGCAAAGAGGTAACACAGTGAGGTTAGGGCACTCATACAGCTGGGCTAGCTTACATTCATCAGAACCACACCTTGGAAAGAGGCTCAGCTTTCTGTAGTGGCAATTTCCTCGTCAGTATAGGATCACTGATTTTTGCCTGAGACAGATTTGGAGTGTTCAGTGTTTTGTTTGCTTTGCAGGGCAGCAGCAGCATCAAGAGGAGCAGAAAAAGAGCAAGCTGGAAGGAGTGATTATAGGTAGATTCACAAGAAAATGGCCATCCATGCTGTGAAGCATTATAGCTCATTGTGAGAAGGAGCTGGTTTTTTTTACATAAGTCAGTTAGCACCTTGAAAAGCCTCCTTGAATCCTAGTTTTCATTTCCTTACTTACCAGTACATCAACATAGAGAACCCAGCAATGCTCTCTGGGATTAATACAGAGTGATTTCAAGTCCAAGTTGCCCTTGCTGCTGAATACTCTGTAGAGTGTATTTGCTATCTCTGTGCCAAGTTCTTCTCCTCCCCGGCCTTCAAATTCAGGAGTAGCATTGGCAGAACTAGATAAAGAAGGAAAAAAAATACTTTCAACTCTGAAGCAGCCAATACCCAAAGAACATTTCTCAAATATAAAGCCTCAGAAGCATCTAAGGATTTATTTGTAGAATAAGCATCCTATCTGTAAAGAAATTATTTCCAGCTTGCTTAAGAAAATGTCTTGATGCAGATTAGCTACATTTTGTTACAAACTCCAATACTAATTAAATTCCACCACTATCTTCAAGTTACAACGTTAAAGTTGGCAAATTCCCTCAGGGATTATTCCTTAAGTGCTCTCATCTTCTATCACCTCAACCCTCTCAAGACTGAAAAAGTGAGAGGAATCCATCCTGAGTTCAGAGCAGCTAACAAGCCAGCCTGTTAGAAGGGAATGGTAAATTAATCAGAGCAGAAAGTGGCCAAGAGGAGGAAGATGTGACAAATAGAACATGCATTTTTAAGTGACATGACTGCCTGACCTTAATTGGCAATTTCTGCACTGAGTGTACTCTCTGCTATCAAGCCACTTACAGACAGCAGCTCATTATTTTCAGCAGCTGCAGCTTATGGAGAACAGCAACTAAAGAACAGGTTTTCCAGAAGGCATCTGACAAAAGCCTGAGGTCTTCACATTCACAAACTTTGTCTAGAAGCAGCCATGCAAGAATGTCCCTGGGTGCTGGGGCCTTATACATAGCTAAGAATAATATTCTAACAATAAAATACACAGCCCTCTTAAAAACCCAACAAACCAACCCAAACAAACAACAAAAACCCCTCCCCAGCTCCAAGTCACAATGAAATAGAGCAGAAATGCCCAGAGATGTATATACAGCAAATTAACAAATATTCTGAACATAAGCTCTGGTTTATGAAGAGAGCAAGAGCATTCTCAAGCAGCAGATCCATGGCACATGTTGCAGATCTTTTTTTTCCGAATGAACTAGTCAGATGTCTAACAAATTAATCTTTCAGAATCCTTTCAACCAACAACTAAAGAGCCACATTACCTAAATACAACTGAAACCATCATGTGAGCTGTATCAACAAGACTGCAGCACCTCTAAGCTTACATATAATTACCTATTATTATCACCCATACAAATTGGACACAGTAACTCTCCCAGCTTACTCTTTTTCAGAGCTGATGAAAACTCAGAATTCCAGGAAGAGCTACTGGATTTTACAGAAGTTATTTGCTGCTTCTATAAACAGCCAGCACTATATGTGCTTTTAAAATGAATAAATTCCTGCAGATCAAGCACAGCTCCATGCTTCCAGATTACATTTGTCACATGAATAAGTGTGACAATAGTATTCAGTTGTGTTAATTTCACAAGGTAAGACCATAGCCAAGTGTAACTTAATTCTGAAAATACATTGAATTGGGTCTTCAGGTTGTATTAAACATTTCTCCACTGAAGCAGCTTTTATGCAGGTTAACTAGATGATTCTGTTTAAATCATGGCTACACAAACGTTGTGGTTCCTGTAATGAACTGAAAAGAATTAAGCCTCAATCTACACCTCATAATTATTTCTAAACACAAAATTTTGTCAAACGTTGTATTTTTTAATGATAAATGGCTGCTTGCTTTGACAGTGAGTAGTAAGAGCCCAACACTCAACTGGAATTTCACTGCAAGTTTCCCTGCAGCTTAATTCCATCAGTTCCTGCAAAGTGAAACAAAGGAGTGAGCAGGGTACTATTAAAACAACTACTTGGTAAATGCTGCCACCTAATGCTCACAGACTGCTGCAGTAATTTACACCGAGTAGGATTTGAACAGGGGGTGTCTAACACCAGTAGGAGGAAATGCCAAACAACTTCTTTTATGGAGCACAGAAAGAGCTTGGCAGGGGCCAGGTAGAGCACAGAACTTCTACTCCCAAAGAGAATGGAATTTTGAAGACATTCAAAACCCTTTTGGTGTCACATCTAACAATCCAGACTCCTCAAAGCTTAATGATGCTTCTACCACAGAGCAACACTCAGTTTCAAAACTCTTGTTACCAGTCAAACCCTTTCTCTCACAGTAGTTAATTACCTCCCATCTGCAGCTCAGGCCATTAATACCCTGTAATATAATGTACAATATAAGTAATTAGAGAAAAAAGAGAGTTAATTGAACAAATTAGAGCTATCTGCCTGGTATAAGGGCTCTGTTACCTAGAGGACATTTTTCACTTAAAGCTACATTTATTTCAAGCAACCAATATGCATCTGGACTGCCAAGAAACAGAGAGACCCAAATTCAGGTCCAGATGCTGACAGGTAGTAAGGACAACACACAGGACATGGACTTGTTCTCTAAGAATTAGTTCCCAGTATCACAAATTGGTGCCCCAAAAATCACCTCTTCCAGAGACATGCATTAAAATCTGTCTCCAGAAGGGACTAAATGTTCTTCTCATACCTTAGATGAAGGACTCAGAGCAGAATGAAGAGACACAGAATTTTGGAGTAGATAATTACATACACAATCCAGCAAGTGATTTTTTTCAGCAGTACAAGAAACCACAAGAATTTCAGGAAACAAGCATTTGAAGACAGAGAATTTTTATTATTAGTTTCAACAAGAGAAAAGGCAAGTAGAGATCTGGTGGCTCTTTCTGGGGCTACGTGTCACTGCTCCCTGGTGAAGTTTCCCTCTCACCTCTTCCACCCTCCCAGCACTTTGAAGGCTGAAGGCTAAGCACAAGCCCAAGGGTAGCACAAGCCAGGAACGTGGTTACAACCAAATCCCATTTTAGCTCATGAAATACTGTTTCACAGATAAATACAGTAACTAAATTTTCTAATTAACTTTTGCATCTGAAGTTTACAGCAAGAAGTTTTCTTTTTTTAAACAGATTTGTACAAGTCACACTTGGAACTGTTCCCACTGCTTTCAGAGTGAGCAAACCTCTAAGAACAGCTAGAGTATGCTCCATATCAGCCAATTCTTACCTTCCAGAATGCTTCATTTTTGGAAGAGATTTTCTCTCTTTTATCACTGTGAAAAAGACACCTGGCACTGCAGTCACAGAGTCCTGTTAAACACCTGTGTCACTGCACTGGGACTTTCTTCCCAGCTGCAGTGACACTACACAATTTGGGACTGCTTTAGTCAACCTGTTCTCATCCTTTAACTCCTGGGTCTGCAGAAGAAGCAGAAAGTTCTGAATATTCAGCACTACTGAAAGAGTAAAATGACTTGTTTCTACTACTCAGACTCTTACAGGAGTTTAGTGGAATGAAGGTATAAGCCTCAGAAGCATGGCAAGATCCTATTAGTCATTTATTCCAAATATTTGATCTATTCCCTTCTCTTGTAGCATACTAACCAATCCACAAAGAATTCCAGGTAACCTTCGTCTGGTTTCTCTAACTTCGGTGTCCCCAGTTCTGCTTTTACACCTACCAGGATATCAGTGTGTCCCTGTTAAAACAAAAACAACTGCAGTTAGATTAAAGGCCCAGGGTAAGATGATGTTTCTGCCTTTCAATAATCATTCAATCAGAGTGAACTTCAAATAACATTTGGCTTTTTTTTTTAAAAGGTTTTAGACAGACAATGTTAAGTCTAAGACAGTTCTTTGAATGATTACCACACATTAAGCTTTCTCTAGGTTAAAACACTCTTCAATGCCAGCACTATTTCTCTCATTTTAGTTCTGGAAACGACCCCCAAGAAATCCACCTACCAGCTTTACTCTCGCAGACCCACTCGTGTTAGACACAACATCTGTTTCTACTTCTGCACATCTGTAGTCTTCACAGCCACGGCCATCCACACGAAGGTCCTCCTAAGTATGACAATCAGTATATGGGGCTTTAATGAAAAGCAAAACAGAACCTGTGGTTTAAAGTTTCCTCTTCATGTGCCAAACAGCAGCAGAAAGGATATAAAGGCAGCAGGTCATAGTTTCATTGCCAGCTTTCACTTAAGATAACAACAGAGCCACCTGCACTCTCCTATTTACCTCTCATCTACCCAGAGAGTGTAACAAGCTCTCTGCAGACAGACCCCAACTCCTGCACTAGCCCCTCCACTTCCAAAGGCAAGCTTCAGACTGCACAAGTGTGAAGGCCACTTTAAAAGGTGCTTCACTCAACACAACACAGCTCTTCCCTGGGATACTAGAGCTCTGTACTTTTACACATGGGATTAGAAAGCAAAAAAAAACCCCACACCAGCTTCCGAATGCTTTCATCTGGTTGTATTTCAAATGTGGCTGTTATGCACCCTCAGGTACTACTTGGCTCCTCCCCATGACAGCACTTTTCTCTGCAGTGAAACAGTTGCTGTAGCTGGCAGAACGTACAGTCCTTTCAGCCCTGGCACTTCTCCCACATCCTTCACTCCTGCAAGGCCAGGCTCAGAGAGTTGGACTTGCTTGGCTTGGAGAAGAGAAGGCTCTGGGAAGACCTTCTGGCAGCCATTGAGGACTTAAAGGGAGTCTTATCAGAAAGATGGGGACAACATTTTTAGTGTGGCCTGTTGCAGCTGGACAAGGGGGAATGGTTTTAAGCTAAAAGAGGGAGATTTAGAGAAGGAAGACATTTTTGATGCTGAGAGTGGTGAGCCCCTGTCCCAGGCTGCCCAGAGAGGTGGTCGCTGCCCCATCCCTGGAACCATTCCAGGGGAGGTTGGCCGGGGCTCTGAGCACCCTGCTCTAGTTGGGGATATCCCTGCTGCCTGCAGGGGGTTGGACGAGACAGGCTTGAAAGGTCCCTCCCTACCAAAACTACCCCAAAGCTCCCCAGTTCCTCAGAGCACTTGCCTTTCCCTAGCTTAGGAAGGGGCTATATGCTCCCTGCAAGATGAACTCTTGAGACAGTGCAAGAAACGAGCAGAAGGAGAACAAGAGATGAAAAGAACACCCCACATCCCGCTCTCTGCTCTCAAGCTTTCGGATAATTGTTATCCCCGAGATTTCCCCTCGGGCACCCGGGAGTTCGCTCCCTCCCTCCTCCCCAGCCTACACCGTAAGTCGT